TGACTGTGAGATTGAACTAAATAATATTTAACACCTATACATAAATACTATAAAATTCTTATTAACAAAAAAAAAAAAAAAAGTAAAAATATACTCAATTAAAACATGTCTCAACAAAGAAACAAGGCAAAATCAACACCCATCCTTGAAAAACCTCCAAACACCCCCAGCAACTCTTCGGAAATTTCCCAAGACCTTCTCAATTTTGGGAACCAAAGCCCTACTAGCATTTATTTGCCCCCCAATCACCAGGAGAGTATCCAACTTATCTTAAGGGATATTGCCAAGGCATTCAAAGATGCTGCCACGGAAGAGCCCAAGAAGATGGTTATGGAAATCAATACCGGGGCCGCGAGACCAATTGGGTCCAAGTTTAAACCGTTTCACAGTACTGAAGATGAAGACCTTGTTGAGTGGATCGAAGCATTTCAAAGAGCCGCTAATGCAAATAATTGGCCCAAGCCTAGAAGAATTGACATTGCCTCAGGATACCTCTTCGGAATTGCAGCTAACTGGTATAGTGATCATAAAGACGACCTCCAATATTGGGATAATGAAAACCAGCCTGGAGCCAGCTTTGCCTCTGAATTCGTTAAATATTTCACAACACCAGAAAGGCGCTATAGGTGGCAAATAGACCTAAATTTATTAACTCAGCAAGAAAATAAAAAAGTCGATCTTTATGTGTACAAATTTAAAAGGTTACAAAAAAGAGTTTACCCAAAAAATAAATTACCACCTACCTATGTGGTCAGAATGTTTATTGGTGGTCTAAAAGGTAAAATTGCTGCTTTCATGTCTATCGCCGAACCAAAAAACCTTGATAACGTTATCAAGAATGCTAGAAAAATAAAAGCCGGTGAATACTATGAGAAAAGAAAAGAAGAAGACCCTACTAACCAACTCATCGAAGCCTTGACACATAAAATGCATCAAATGGCCGCAAATTATGAAAAATTGACCACCACATTGGCAGCCAGAGTTGAAGTTAACCCTGTCCCAAACAAAATAGACCATCCCAGCCCCGGCAGACTCCAAACGGCGGTATTGAGTGCTATAATTGTGAAGAAAGAGGCCATATTGCTAGGGATTGTCTTGCTGAATGATGCCAAAACACTGGGAGACCCCTTGTGAATTTGAACAGCAACAAGTCACAGCCAAGAAATGTTAACCTATGTTACATTTACACCCAGGAGATGGGAGAAGAGTTGTATACCATTAAGTATCGAGAAAACCCCGAAAATAAACCTAATTGGGATGAAAGATTAAGAAAAAGAGTTGCTCCTAAACCAAACCAGATGACTCAGCAACCAACCCAGCCAATTCCGATAGAGGAAGTCATTCCAGAACAACAACAGGCAAACATTACACCTCAAACTATCGCAATCAACCCACCCAGACGAAGACGAGGGCTCTCCATTGTTGATTTAGCCGCACCATATAATATTGCTAAAGATCTGCTTAATCAAAAAGCCAACGCAATCTATGCTCAAATGCTGCAGATCCCCAAACAAAGGTGTAATCTTGCTGAGGTGTTAAAACGACCCTTAATTATGGTGGTAGAAGAATCCTGCGTTGCTGAAAATCAAGTAAATTATAGGCCCACAGCAGCAAAATATTATGTTAGAGTTCAAAACAACCCCATATTAGCCATACTAGATTCTGGGGCTGCTGTCAGCACCTTATCAAAAAAATTAGTTAATAAATTAGGTCTCACCATCAAAGAGCCTTCTAACACAGTAGTAGTTACTGCTAACAGCACAAGGGAAAGAGCTTTAAGAAAACTGCCAGACCTAAAATTGTGTATCCGAGATGTAATGATACCTACCAGTTTTCAAGTTATCGAAAATAACAAAGAAATGATACTGCTAGAAATGGATTGGTTCTAAAAGGTACATGCCTGACTCCATTTCGACGAAAAGAAGCTATTCCTCTAGTACCTGGGCAAGTGTATAGAGGTGCCAATATATCAGGCAAAAGAAAACCAGCTCGAAATGCCCCCTGAATTCGGTAATGAAGAAAACGACTTCTTCGATAATTATGAGAAAGAAAAGACGGAGGAAGTGGAAAGTTACTGCACCAATGGATCTAACGATGATGAAGAACTATACATTAACTCTTGGAAGGATGAGTATAGCCTGGCTATATATTTAATATCAATCGAAGAAATACCCACCACCAGAAAAGAGGAAAACCCCGATACAACCCCTAAAAACAACATTAATACATTAGTACAAATTGAGACATTAGATAAAGAACAAAAAGAAAAGGCTACTTATCTCTTGAGGCGGTTTAGCGATTTGTTCGCAACTGGGCTAGATCAACTAGGCCAAACCATAGAAGTACAACACAAAATCGATACTGGTAATGCAAAGTCTATGAAGCAGTTGGCATATAGGATCTTACTCAATGAACAAGACTTTCTAGAAAAAGAAATTAAAAAATTATTGGAAAATGGTTTAATTATGAAGTCAAAAGCCCCTGGACTTCCCCTGTAATTATAGTCCCCAGAAAAATGGTAAATTACGGCTATGTGTCGATTATAAAAAATTAAATACCATAACTAAAAAAGAAGCTTACCCTCTACTACATATCGATGATATGCTGAAAACTTTTGGAAAGGCTAAGTGGTTCTTCAGCCTCGACTTGGCTAGTAGGTACTGGCAAATACTGATGAAATTAGAAGACCAGAAAAAACCCGCATTCATAACAAAGCATAGCATATATGCATTTAACGTCATGCCATTCAGGTTATGTAACGCATCTGCCACATTTCAAAGAGCGATGAATACCATTCTATATGAATACATTAATAAGTTCATAGTGCTGTACTTAGATGACATAAACATATACTCGAACACTTACCAGGAACATCTCGACCATCTAGAAAAAATACTTACCAAAATTCAACAGGTAATGCTCAAGCTTAATCTAGAAAAATACCAACTATTCAGGTCAAATATACAATTTCTCGGCCATGTGGTAGGAAGGAACGGCATCCAACCAAATAAAGAATAAATAATTAAAGTCAAAGAATTTCCAGCACTGACAAATCTAAGGCAACTGTGGGAGTTTATAGGCCTTGCATCCTACTATCGTAAATTCATTCAAGGCCACAGCCAAGCCCCTATACAAATTATTAGAAAAAGGTGTTAGTTATGAATGGGGACCTCAGCATGAACAAGCATTTCAAGCACTAAAGGGTCACTTAACTTTAGCACCAGTATTAAGGTACCCAGATTTCGAAAAACCCTATTATCATCATACAGACGCCTCCGGAGTTGCTCTCAGTGCAGTATTAGCCCAGAAGGATGAAAATAAAAGGGAATATGCCATTGCATATGCTAGTAAAAGTTTAACCAAAGTTGAAAGAAATTATTCAGCAATGGAATCGGAGTGCTACACGGTAGTCTGGGCTATAGAATACTTCTATTCATATCTTGGATATAAATATTTTTTAGTTGTTACAGACAACAGTGCCTAAAATGGTTACAAACTACTGCACTAAAGGGACACCAAGCTCGATAGATCCTAAGACTTCAGCCTTATAACTTTACTATAGTACATCGGGCTAGTCGAATGCATAATAATGCAGATACCCTATCCTGAATGATGGAAGAACAGTCTTCACATAAAAAGGATACAATTTTAGAACCAGCCCAATCAACTCTCCCTATAAAAAATTTTTTACAGATATATTCCGATTTTGTTCCGAGCAAGTCGAACCCATCCCGATCATATTCCGAA